AAGAATTGTATTCTGTAATAGACTTACAAATATATAGTTGTTTTTTCAGTATTCTAATTATTGTAAATAATTGTCAAGTTGTATATCGCCATAATTTTTTTTTTCTTTTTCTATGACGTGTCTAATAAGTAATTGTACATAACAGTATTATCATTGTGTGGTAGATATCATGAGACAAATCCTATCTTGAATTTTATTTAACATTTAATTCAACCAATACAGTATAGCACAGAGACCTACCGTACAATATAATAATTTATATTATGCTTTCATAAGATTGCAGATATAGTAGAATCTACGTAGTCGTTTGCAAGAGTAGGCGTGCGTCTTTTAAATTGAAATACATTTAGGATTGAATCTGTAGTCTTGTCGAAAAAATACAACATGTCTGCCTCTTACAAAGATTACCTGAAGGAAGGACGACTGATGTTCATCTAGCATTACCATTTAGTACTTCTGCTTGGCTAGCCTAGCAGCAATGCAATACATTAGAGCGAACGACAAAGCAGACAGCAAACAAGTTAAGGCACAGCCTGGAGCGCGCCTACGGCGGCGTTCATGGTTCGACGGATATGAATAGCGCTGTGTTACTGCGAGAGCGCTCGCAGCTGCGACGGACTATGAATCATAGTATAAAACTCGGTAAGAAGGCCATACCCTAGGGCCTGGAACAAATGAGTATACGAGGATAGATGGAAAAACAACCCTGTCCTTTAAGCGTTTCCTGACAGAAATAAAGTTGATAAAGAAAATAGAATTATTATGCCTTGCTATCATCTCATTTCGTTTGCCACATCAACGACGCCATATGAAATACTCTACTGGCTACTAAGAAGAATTGCTCTAGCAATCGGCATTTTAAATGTTCCCAAAATGAATGTTTTGTTTATGTTATATAGGCCTATGCTGACCGATATGTTTTGTCAATGCGTTATGGGTGTGTTATAAATTATGGCTCTATTTAGATTTACGATTTCATGTCATAAGCAGTGCGCATAATTTCTGACGAAAACGCGTAATGAGTTAATTTAGGCCATACCGGTACACGGCGTGGGAAGATCGCCCGCCGTAAGTATAAAGATGATGATATACTGTATTTATAGTAAGCGTATGTGTCCGTTTCGACGTCTTAATTTACCTTACACTCTTTTTTTACTTTTATTCCGATAAGTTTTCGGCTGTTAAGCGGCGCATGACATTGATGTTCAACGCCCTCAAAGACTGATGGAACTTTAACGACGCAATGACGTCACTAGTGTCATGTTGAAATTGTGGTAAACAAGATAGTAATAGTAAGTAATCAAAGAAAATTAGCGGCATGTAAAATTCTACTTTTACTTTCTGTGGGCAAATTTCCTTAATATGAAATATTCTCATAATCGGTAATTTCCTTCAAAGATTCGAATGGATAGTTTAGTTCATAACTTGCAGGTCAGCATCCCACAGACTTCAATACTGCAACATCATTATCATTCTGAACATTTCACCACACTACATTTGTTTAATCATGGAGCTATATTTTTGTTTTGATAAACTGAAAAATCAAAACGGCGCCCAAGTGTATAATGTTTATTTGTTACTGGAATTCCATGCCTATCGAAGTTCGCAATTCTCCTTGGCTCGCCATTTTCAAAATCCGTCTTGAAACACATCTTTTTTCAACATTTTAATTCCCTTTCCCTATTACTAGCGTATTGAGACTTTGTTTATGCTCAAAAGTAAATTTATATTCATTATAATACATTACGATGACATTCATAACATAGATGGCGACAAACAACTCGACTGTACTTTTTACACCAGACTGGATTGCTATGGATAATTATTCATGATGCTCACTCCAAGTGACTAATCAGAATTGAAGGTTGTGACAATGTAAGCCACAACTGCGCTACCTCTTGCGAATAAATTCAGTTTAGTGCGGTGAATGTTACTTATCCCATAGGCCTATGTAGTCCTATATGGTATGTACCAATGGTCAAAAAGCATCTTTACTGAAATTTAATATTGTCACAGTTAAACTGCAAATTTGATTTGGCTTGATAATTCTGAAGCTTCTTAAAAGCCCAGCTTAGGCCGTATTTGCTTCAGACAGGCCAACCGTACTGAGCGATATCAGGGTCAGGGAGCTTTCGATTTGACTACGCGGAGAGCGACGATTACGCGGAGTGAGGCGACGGGAAAGTCACGCCGATGGCATCCCAACCGTTATTATACGGTAACTTTTACAATGGACATGCGGATTTCGTCCGTTTCACGTCTTCGTCATGCACAACATAAGAAAAGTTTTATGCATTATTACGAATACGCACTTCAAAGAGACGCGTAATTAATGACACAAGATCAAGATACGTACGTAATCACGTTCGTCACAGATAATTAAATTAATCTCAGCCTATCGCACCAGGATGTTTACATTTTTAAACTGGTATGAACACACTCAACACATAATGACGTACAGTATTACGTTAATATTTTTTTGAGAAACGACTTAATAAAGAAATCGTTACCGGTGAATGACATTCGTTCCACAGGAGTTTAATCTGAGCCATTCATGATAATAGGAAACATACCCATTGGCTACCTCAACGGGCAAAGGATTAGTGTGCGCATGAGTTTAATTATTTGAAAGATTCATAAGCGATAGTCGGTATGGTTGCATAACCACTAGGCCTATGCATAATACATTCAATATTACGATATCCCATTCGAAGAACTCGCAAGCAATTTTCCTTAATGTCGACATAACAATGTCTCCTACGATTGTCGTATTGTGTTTCTTGCCTTGGGTAGGGATGATAAAAACACACAATTGTTAAAGCCAGCTAGCTATTAACATCATGTTGACTTAACGGGTGGTTGTCCCGCCCATCATTCAGTATCAGCGCAAAATCAGGCAAATTATTTCCGCCTCATTTTATGTATTTCACAAGAAAATAATGAAACAATGATGAAACTATGCCTATGTAAATTGCACAATGTTTATTTATCTATATATTTTTTCAATAGGCATATGGGCCGGGTCAATAATCGTAGCGAATTTAATCACCATCGAAAGTCTGGGTTGTGTTTTCCCAATATATTTTAATATGAAGGATCACAACATAGTGTGTAATGATGACTAAAAGACCACTTTCCAAGATTAACTAATTAATAAATTTGGTACCTTACATGGATTTTGTAAGACTGTATGCATAATAATGGAACTATACACTGAGCCCCGCCCCTTGGATATTGTTGCCAAGGTCCCACAAAACAACAGCGTAAAAAGTACGTAAACGCGTGTGTTTGAATGACGTGTGCGTGTTCCTGGTTCTGTTTTGATTGGTCAGTTAAGTTTGATTGATATTCTGGAATGGTCCATTCTAAAACAGTGGTACAAAGTTGCGCTTGGTTACTGTAAAAGCACCTGTACGTGATTATTAAAGTTATTACATATTAAATTATGATTAATCACATATGATTACATATCGTTGTTTCTAGTCTGCTCGCATAATAATGGAACTATACACTGAGCCCCGCCCCTTGGATATTGTTGCCAAGGTCCCACAAAACGACAGCGTATAAAGTACGTAAATACGTGTGCGTGTTCCTGGTCCTGTTTTGATTGGTCAGTTAAGTTTGATTGATATTCTGGAATGGTCCATTCTAAAACAGTGGTACAAAGTTGCACTTGGCTACTGTAAAAGCACCTGTACGTGATTATTAAAGTTATTACATATTAAATTATGATTAATCACATATGATTACATATCGTTGTTTCTAGCCTGCTCTGTTAATTATATTTCAAATGTCCCCTCCCGCGGTAGTCATACCGACATGCCAACTATTATTTAGGAGTATGTTATTAATTTCTTTTCAACTTGGCGGGTTAACGCCGCTAGATCAATAACGCGCCTCAATCCTAATCACGTAGGCCTGCGTACCTACGTATTCATCAGTGTACAAAGGAAGAGCATTGGGTAAAAATGTCATGTTGCTATATTATTACCGCGGTAGCAATTCATTATCTATCCCGTAACTGCAGCTTTTATACTCCAGGCTATATTTATTCAAAATAAATAGATGGATACAATAGGTTTTCTGCTTGTATACGCAGTGATGTAACATAACACGCATCGTGTATTCATATCAAACATAGTACAACGAAGCATTGGACTCGCATTAGCAGCAACGATTAATATTGTCGACAGTAGCCGATAAAATGGTATCGTAAAAAATAATTAAATATATAGAGGGCGGTGTTCAATTGCTCTGTTTTCCGTTTGACAACCGTTTTTGATTTTGTAAAAGGTGGAGGTATAAGTCATGAAAATGCCCGCAAGCAAAAATAATTTAGCCTTGTATTTCTGTACGTGAGAAAGAAAAGATATAAAATGAATGCCAGAAAGAAATTCAATATCATTTACGAACACCGTAGGCACAGTGAGAAAAACATTTAAATAAAACAAGAAAACACATTTCAAATCCAATATGATAGTGAGGTTCAGGGAATTAGTAATTACATCGATGAAACGGCTAATATTTTACTATCATGCCAGGGAGCATACGGCGATCAATCGGATCTGTTCACTAGCGGGTATCTAGGCCTATGATAGCTGCCATTATTTTAAGATGGTTTAGGCCTATACGACAACGACAATCCACTCAGCAATCATCAGATCTTGATATCAACTTTTCCTTCGGCCTATTATATCAAATTAAGCTGCACGGAAAAAAAACCCAAACCTATATATCAATTAAGCTGCACGGAAAAACAACTCAAACTGGTTAACTGCTCAATTTAGCAATTACTTTTTCAGACGTAGGTCTATCTATGGGGGCGGTCACCGCCTACTTGCAGAAGCACCCAAGGAAAACAATATTCCCCTTGCCATTTGGAAAGTTGTTGAAAAATTACTCATATCCCTGTCCAGTTACCCCCCACACACGACTACGCATAGGCCTACAGCCGAGTATTACTGACACACTCGAATACGTGCGTACCAGCACTCAGGCTCCGAAGGAAAAAAAATTATATGTTGTACAACTGATTTTTCAAAAAGCATATTTGACGAAAAACTCCGGAATGGTTAATGGAACACAGATATTTGAATACCTGTATTTAAAAACAGGGGGAAAAGGGATGGTTACGTCAAATATGCTTTTGTGTCTTAGAGAAATCGGTTGTATAATTTGTTTTCCTCTGGAGCCTGACTTCAAGTAATACATTCACACATTGTCGTTATTATTATTATTTGTATATCCTTCTATTATTGTTGGGTATTTTGGTCACAAAATATAAACATTTTTGACCTAATGTGGATGAATATTATTACAGTTGGACAAAGTCCATGGACATCCAAAACGGTTTAAATCATCAAATGTTAAGCGTATTTAATGTTGGGTTTTCAAAAATAACATCAACTAAGAATATTGACAACAATAATATCGTCTAACCCCACTCAAAATCAAGGCCACTGTTATTTATACACGATCTATAATAAACCTTCGACTTTTCTTACAAATATTTTAGGTATTTGATATATTGTATATTTTTATTTCGTATTTACACGTGTTTATAACTAAACCATGTGTCCACATACAATGAGGCCGTGTATTCAAATAACAATTACATCAAGCGTTTCTAATAGACAAACAATATTTCAAAAGCAAGTTCCTTAATCACATCACATGATTTGAGATGGCAGCGAAGTTTATTATCAACCGCTGAGGGGGCTATATCAATTATTCAGTGAGCCAGAGAAAAAGGAGCTCCAGAGAAAAATCTTCCATCAGGAATACAGTACCATATATAGATCACGTTAACTAATATTTAGAAGTCACAAAATAGTCAATTTTGACCAATGACACTTAGCAGTGATTTAAAAAAATATATATAATTTGTGCCTACATCAGGCAAGTCGCACGTTATTTTTAAGTGAAACATCAGCTTAACTGTTACCAATGAAGAATTACTATGGTGCTATCATTTTTAAAAAACGTATAATAAAAATATGACACCATTGAAGTTAGTTATCTTTCATATAAATTATAAATGAAATTGTGAGCAGCATATTTTGCTACAATTGTATTAGTCCGCAACATTGTAACACTTACAGAGGCAGAGCCAAGGTTTGGAGGCGGGGACAAAAGACGGGGCTGCACTGTTATCAGGGAATTGACAATGTTGACAGATACTGTAGATCAGAGAACATGACCCGCCCTCTGGATGGATCCACCTAAACAAAAACATGGACAGCATTATTCTACTAAAGTGAAAAACACATGACACATAAACATGACACACACATATGCAAATTATCTCTTTTCCTTTTAAAATTGGGTAATTTTTATAATTATTAGCTTCTCATTTACAAAAGAAAACCTTGGGTATTAATGGACCTTTCCACTAAGCCCCGCCCCTTGGATACTGTTACTAAGGTCCCACAAATGTACGTAAACACGTGCGTTCTTCGTGGGGCAACAGGTGTGTTTGTTGAACACGCGCTTATTCCTGGCACTGTTCTGACTGGTCAATGTAATTTTGATTGACACTTTGGAAAGGTCCATTATCAATAAATGCTTCAGATTTTAAATAAATGCATGAAATCAAACAATTGTAGACAAGTGATTAATCATGCCCGGAGTGGTTCAAATCCTCAATGCAATCCAACTTCAAGTTACCTTGTCAACATAATCAACTTGACGCCCGCGCAAAACCTTTACACTTGTCGAAAGTATAATTTATGTATGATGAAGCGACGACAAAAAACTGCCATCTCTGAAATCCTAATTTCATTTTAATAATTTTTGATTCATATCATATATCATTCAATAAACAATCTAATTAATAAATATTTCATAGTCATTGTCCAGTGTTTATTTGAAACAGTGTTTCTTCTTTTCAACATTTACAATTTAAGATTCCAACTTCATGCTAAGAATTGTGAACATGCAATGTGATAATTGGTTTTTTTTTAAACATAAATTATGTACGAGAGCAATGCTGTACTAAATTTGTAAAGAAAAGAGAAAGACAATTTTAGTGGGCTTCAATCAAGAAACATGGCTAGTTCTTAATGGTGGTTGAGCATCTGTGTACTGCAAATACTACACTACGCCTCGCTGGTGGGCTTTCCAGGAGTGGATCCAGGATATTTCCTTCTATTGGGGGGGGGGGGGAGGTGTAAGGGTGATTGGTAATAGAGGACAATGGTCTGAGTGTATGGTTTGGAAGTTCCCCTTTCTTACACTAGGAAGGTCAAGTTTAAAGAATATATAAACATTTTCTTGCTTTGTTCGAAATTCTCTTCCTGCTGCCAAGGATAGGTCCCCCCCCCCCCCACCCCCTGCTTTTGCCACGCCTGGATCTGCCACTGCTTTTAGTTACGTCTGTAATTATAAAGTGACAAAAAACTTTAATTTTAGTATCTACAAGCTGAATAAAATATACTGCAGATACAAATCAGTTACTTATAGGAGTTAACATAGGCATTTCAATTATCAGATTAAGAAATAGTTTCAAACTATTTGGAAGCATATGGTGTAGATGTAATTAGAGCAGGTTTTTAAATAAAATTGTTATGTGTTTGAGCCTACTGCAGTTGCACTTATTCTTGGACAAGACTCTGTATCTACCCTTGCCTCCCTCAACCCAGGACAATAAATGGGTATCTGGTTTAATGCATAAGACCTGAAGTGAATTTACATGCTGGGCTGGAATTACACCCTAAAGACTGGAGATTGTATGAATCTATGATTTGATTTGATTTGTACATGTCCCAATAACAGATAACACAACATGAATTAATGCCTAAATCACATTAAAATATATTACTTCAGATTAAAAAAAAAACACTTCCCAGATTTAGGAAATTAAAAACCATATACAGTACAATGAACATACAGGTACATGTTATTTCCTTTTAGACAACGTTTGAAATGTAATTTAGACAAGCTTGGCCTGAGAGGGCACCAAGCTCAGAAATGGACATATAATACTTATAACATGCAAGATATGTATGTTATCAATGTGATTTTTTAAATGTGCACAATAAAAAATTAGTAGACACTTTACTAGACATAGTTTGGCTGAGCATTCACCCAGCTACCTCTAGAAAATTAGTGTCCTTTCTTGATCATAATAAATAGACAATCCCTTTTCTTCAACTCTATAAAAGATATTAAACTATACATTTTTTCCATGATCCTGATACTCTATTACGCTTCATATATTTCCCAGCTTTAGATATACAGTGTGATATAAAAAATTATGACTAACACCCTCAAATCAATTTATATACAGAATAATTACATTATGAAATCTCTATGAGTCAATCAAATCTACTAGAAGGGGTTTCCCCATTTTTGAGGTATGAAGCTATTTTTAGCAAATTTAAGTTGTGTCATCAGAATTACACGGCCAATGACAAATGTACAAATGAGGTGGGTGATTTTTTTTTTAACCAGTTTTAAACAAATCACAAAGTTAAACAAATACATAACAGATGATTTCTTGTTTTTATACCCCTATTCACATAAGCAAATGCACAAATTAAAGATGTTAAATCTTACCCATCAGATATGATCATCATGAAAGTCAAAATCAATTCTAATGAGATTTCAACAAACCATAATAGATTCAAAGTTTTCTAAAAACTTGAACTTACTGAAATAAATTTAACAGGAGTAGAAAACCCAGATAAAAATTCTCTCTCACATTACAGCTTTAGTATTTTGACTAAACACGGACATTTTCTATGAAGGATGAGTTTAACCTTTCTGATGTGATGAAGTGATCACTGCAAATATAGTGTCTACGAAAATGCATACTGCACTACCTCCCTTCTGTCGTATGGAATACAGTGTTCCATATAACAATCATGGTACTCACAAAGATTTGTTTTCGTTCTAGTAGATATTAGACTACTCTCACATAATGAATGCAAAATTGATATGGCGACCTGTCTGAGTGAAGTGAACTACTAATCTATTTTGAGTGTGGCTTTTTACATCACTGTTCAGTTTGACAGCTCACAGCGCTATCATAATGGCTAATGAACGTGTGATCTTGATATCTACAGGTTTAATTGGATAAAAGTACAGCGGAGAATTGGTAATACCTTAAAAACAATAATACAATTGTAATTAATACATCTGATAAATACACCGGATGAACAGGTAATTGACACTTCATCTGTGATATTATAGTCAGCTAGAAGCTGGGCCCGGATATTGGATTCTTCGTCGGTTCGGAAGACGACGGTAGCTCCCTCCTACAACAGTATAGCTACTCCGTAGTCTTATTAATATTAATACATTTCAGCTTCACTTGAGTGCATCTCATGCGTTCTCGCTCAAGAGTCATGTCTTGTAGACAGTACTGTATATTCTACCATTCGATCCATGAGACTTAACAGTAGTGAGTTCCTTCAGTGGCAATACCTTCATGCAGTGTTATCGTGACCTATGACCCATAGTTAGTTACCTGGGCTGTAATATTGCATCATCCACTGTTTTCATTTCAAACTTTTTTCAGGCGTACGTCAAAGCCGAATATTCAATGAGTAAGCATGGCTTAGCCATGAGACTGGGATTTGTTATAATGACATCTCTTCTTAAAGAGAAATGTACTGACACCCTTTCATAATTGAATTTCTTCACATTACTGAACTTTCCACATCATTAGCACACACTGGAACTCTTCTTTGTATCAAATCCTTTGGCTTAGCGGTTGGTGTCAACTCTGTTGCACTGGCCTGAAGAAGTAACGACCAAACTTCTCATATATTACACGGCACTCTGGGGTCCTTGCCCTTGAAAACCACTACGGTATGTGTTCAACGGCCGAGTCCGTGGGGATGTTAATCCCAGAATTTTTATTACACATTCGTCAATCAGTTGCAAACAGCTCCATCCCCTACTTGAGGTAGCCGCGATAAAGTATATCAGATTTTCTCGTCTCTCGTTCTTGTTCAAGGACAAATAATAAATCCCTCAGATTTACTCGCTTCACTCGTCGGATCTTTATGAAAATAATAATAGTAGTAAATTATCATATGGTAGTTTCTGATCTCTCTTCTCCTACCTTTACCTTTATATTGTACTGATATAACAAACTTTGGCCCGAAATGATATACAAGATTATCACTACTATAATTTTTGGTCTTTGGATTGCACTTGCATCATGTTAACTAGTGATTTACCTGTGTTCTTGCAACAGAAGGGGAACTGCCAGTCAACACAGCTGAGCCTATTCCTCCCTAAACAAACAGAAAAAAAAATTATTTAACAGTGTCAGTGGCAGATGATGGCATTATTCCAGAACATTGAATACAAAATATTTAAAACAATGTGAAGAAATATACCGAAGAAATGCTTCCAGGTGTTGGTGATTCTCTTTTCCTTTTCTTTCGTGGTCCAATGGCATCTAACGCAACCATATTCGCATTGTACATGCGTGCCTGGTCCATCTCTTTTTGCTGCATTTCCTTCGCTTTCTGCTTCAAACGTAGCTGCTCTGGATCTTCCTGCTTAGAGCGACTCTGAAAAATGTAACATGGATTCAATCAATTGCTAGACTGCAAGATACTATTCCAAACTGTTTAGTTTAATCAAAACATTTTCATCTGTTGATATAACTACACTGAACTGCATAAAAAATTAGGAAAAAGTTAAAACTGGACACATGAGATTAAAAATATATTGTTTGCCAAAACAAAATCAGAAAAACCTAAAAAAATTCAATCAAAATTTTAAATAGGTTATTAAATTATAACCAGAAACAGATACAACATTTTTTGTCACTGATTTACAGATATCTTGCTATAAAATTCCTAAAATTGATTGATTACTTCCCAATTTCATGTTCTATGCAAATGAACAAAGACACTAAATGCATTATATATTAATGGGAATTTTCTTTCTTATTTAAATTTGTAAACTTAAAAATTTATATATTGATGTGTAATTAAAAAAAAAAAAATCAAGTTATGGTAGATCCAGAAAGGAAAATGAAACTGCACATTTCCCCTATATTGAAAGGCAAACATTTCCCAGTACTTCAAAAAATCTAAATTTTCCCTTGGCCAAAAAGCTCCAGAGAATGTATTTATTTAAAAACTTTTAAATAAAATTGTCACATTTATCTAGTCTCTTGAGTAATCATAACATCCAACACAAGCCAGGTCGTACCTTTGCAGCTCGCAGCAACAGCTCCCTCTCTTGTTCATCTCTTCGTTTTTTCTCCAGAGTATCAAGCTGCTCGAAGAATTTCAGTTGTCTGCGCACATCACTTGCCTCTTCATACCGGGAATCAGTCTGCGTTTAAAAAAATACAAACGAAAAAAATAAGTTTACATACAAACAAGTACATGAAAGTTACCTCTACTAATATTTGAAGAGAGTAGCCCATAGAAAATTTGGCTTAAAAAAATACTAATAACATTAACAATAATACACAAACGACTAACAAATAAATGACAAAACTAATTGAAAAATTTGGTTATTCAAAACCTTAAATTTACCTTGTAAATTTCTGTCCTGTGAAGCGAGGCCACATCCAATTTCTCGACTAAATCTTTGAGTCGTTGCTGTGTGGCGTGTGATATAAGATTCACAACTTCTGCCGTTACTTCACCCAAACCATGCTTCGCACCTAATACATGTACACGACCAAATACAAAAGTTATCATAACATAACAAAATCAATATCATGTTGGGAAATCTTGTGATGTGTGGACTGTATGTAGTATATTATTACCTCCACCAAAGAAGTTATGTATTCACCCCTTGTTTGTCTCTTAGCAAATTATGCAAAACTTATAGAATGGATCTTCACAAAATTTAGTGGAATGGTACATAATTCCACTAAAGAGACAATTTTTGGAAGAAAAGGTCAAAGGATAAGGTAAAGGAAATTCAATTTTTTTTCTTTAACATACCCTCGAGCATGAAAGAAAATAATGGAATCACCTATACTCTATAGAGTGACTGCTCCATAGTTATGTATATCTTATTGGCACTAAAATGTGTCTCAACAACACTGACCCACATACAACACTCGGATTACATGCAATACTCCTATTTTTTAGCTGTAAGGACACCACAGCAGGTATACCGCAAGCACTGGTTTCTGCTCATAAGCAGAAGTAAACCTGGTGAAGATTAACACACCACAGCAAATGAAAGTTTATATCACAACAGTTAACATAAACGGAATGGTGTACTTACACATCGTACTAATCTTTGTATGTAAAGGTTTTGCGCCTAGAAACGTTTCGTCTTTGCAAGACCGAATTTGAGTTCCAATTAGTTCCGAATTTGTTGCTAGGATACGTGCATTCTCTTCCATGAGATTTACACCTGCCATGGAAGCCACATCATTGATGTCATCATCATCCCTATTGTGGAGGCAAAAGATGTGAAATCACTTTGAGAAATGTAATAGGGTATAGGAAAATAATACTTGATTGACAACATTCTAACTAGGTGTTTGAGGACGGAAGCAGTAGAGAAATGATGAAGATGAAGATGATAATGATGCTCAATAATGACGATTATGATGATGGCGATAATGATAGTGTTGATGATGGTGGTAATGATGATGATGGTAATGATGATAATGAAGATAATGACGAAGATGATGATGATGATGATGTCGTCGACAACAACGAAGATGATGATAATGAATAAGATGATGCAGATAATAATGATGATGATGGTGGTGGTGGTACTCGTCGTGATGATGCCACAGACTTTGAGGATAATGATGTTAATAAAGGTAACCGCAAGGGTAGTGATGATAATGTTTATGATGTTAATGATAATTATGATGATGGGTCGTGGTGGTATTCGTCGTGATAATAATGTTGATAATGTTGGTGACAAAAATAATGATGACTGACATTGATGGCAATACCTGTATTGTATCATGATGATGACACAGACTTTGAGGATAATGATGTTAATAAAGGTAACCGCAAGGGTAGTGATGATAATGTTTATGATCTTAATGATAATTATGATGATGGGTGGTGGTGGTATTCGTCGTGATAATAATGTTGATAATGTTGGTGACAAAAATAATGATGACTGACATTGACGGCAATACCTGTACTGATCCTATTAATGATGGCTGGGGCGTTGTTGAAGTTCATGTGACACTGTACATTTCTTATGCAACTTATCTAAACGTTTAAAAGCCTCTCAGTAGCAACTTATATCATAGTTGGTGTTGAGAAATATAAAATTACCTGAAACTATGTTTTGTGCCTTTATCCCTCGGAGGTGTGGCTGCTGGGCTGGCTTTAGCAGCTGCGGCTGTGAGGCGGTGCATAGCTTGCATCTTTGCCGCCTGGTTAAGAATCATTGTACCAGGATTTATGGTGGCTGGCCGAATGTGGTTGACAAGGGTGTTTGGTTGGATCAAACTCTGCCCTGGTACACTAACTCTTGAAGGTACTGGAGACTAATTGAAAAGAAACATATATCTTAGATGTTAATTTTTATTTTCTGGAAAAGAAATTTAGTGGCCATTAATTTGTTAGATATAATACGTTTGTTTTTGTAAAACATTTCGTTGTTCATCCTTCTCAAAAAGTAATGTGGATCAAAAAATTTATTTTTTGTTTTGAAATGATTGTATTGTTAAAGTTATATAATCTAAAAGATGTGTAATTTTCTGGGAGTTACAAGTGGACCACCATTGGTGTTAGGCTCTGCTCTATCTTACTCTAGACATATTTTAACTCTAAATTCCAATTATTGTTGCTTCTTTGTCATGTGTCAAACTCATAATTAATAAAATATAATATTAAAACAACTATCATCAATGACTAGGAAGCTGATGAATATGCATTAGCTATTTTTAGACGAAGGTACTTCACTGAGATAAATTCAGATGTATCTAAATAATCAGTTAATAAAAGCCAGAAGTCAACCATACTGTATCTACTGATTATCTTTTTGGAATACATTTCTTATAAACATCCAATGTAATTCTCTAAACAATTGGAATAACGATCATACTGTAAACGATCGGAGTAACGATCATACAAAATGCCAATGTTAATTACTTGTTTTTGCAAGACAGCGCACTTTAATTTGACACACTCTGTTTTGTTACGTGTAAAACCTCAGAGTGCACTATCTTGTTATTATAAGATCCTTGTTTATTTCTTACTTGTATCCTAGGAGGCGGTGTAATAAACTGTCCCTTAGCTGCTCCTTGTGACAACAGTTGAACATGATTCAAATTAAGATTAATTGTCTTGGGTGGATTTGTTGAGCTGGCTGGACCAGAAGTCTTGGCATCCGTGGTGGCTAGAGATGTGATGAGGTTAGGCTGCGAACCACTAATTCCCGGAGGCATGACAGGGGTCACTGGTAGCTGAGGGGCTAATAGTGGCCCCTTTAATGTCTGTCTCAGAAGTGGCAGACTTTTCTGTCATGAAAAAAAAGAATGAATAAAATGTTATAATTGTTTTTTTTAAATGAGAACCAAAGTATAGGAAATAAATCTGAAGTAGTGAACCAAATATCTGAGCAAGGTTGGCTGTTGGATAAATCAGTTTTTTCTTCTACATATCATAGCTTACCATATTTTGTTAATAAAGGCTCCAGGGGGTTTATTGTTGAGAAGTATTTTGGGGGGGGGGGGGCGGGGAGGCATTTAATCGAGGGAAGGTGTTTATTTTTTTAGGCATAAAATGGATACATATACTCAAATAAACACTCCATAATTTAACTGTAAATGTGGAACTACAGCACATAATTACAGTCAAAATGTGTTACTGAATGATCATAAAGACTTATTTATCCCAACCATATTAGAAAAAATGTAATCCTACTGTGGAATAGAACATTAATAGAATGTGTTGACAATGATGCCGGATTCCATTAGATTTGTTTACTGTCATTTGGTGGGGGGGGGGGCAGGTATTTATTCAAGGAAAAAATTACTACCTCAGGGTGTTTATATGAGGGAGGCATTTATTCCAAATGAGGCTATAGAGGGGGTAGGGGTGTTTATTCAAAGCAGGGCATTTATTCGAATAAATATGGTATTTCATCTATGACCATCACAGCTTTATATTAACAATGTATCTTTATGACGTTTGATGATTTGTTTCTTGTTATATAAGATATCCAAACATTATTTATCAAGAATTGAACCTTTGGATTGGAAGGCGAGCTCCTTGCCCACAGTTCCATTCTTTCAATAACATTATTTTTACTTTTTGTACTTCTCTCTTTTGTTAAATGTTCTTACCTTAAGGAATGGGACTAAGTAGGGTTGGGGGGAGGAATTCAGTTCCTTCTGCAACTTCAATGTAAATTCTTCTGGTTCAATTTTTCCATCCTACAAGAAAAAATATGCAACTATCGTAAATCATGTTAAACAACATACACTTAAAATACAATAAATGATTCATTTACCAAATGCTAATCTATCAGTGATATGATACTGAAAGTAATATAAAAATATATGATATCAATATAATATAAATGTATTGCTGATAGAATTATTTCAGGTCATTATGTGTTAAAAACTTCATGTTACACTAAAATGTAACATGAAGTAGGAATTTATTGACATTAAATACAACTGTAAGGATGAGTGAATTACACAACAAAAAGTACTTAAAGGTGATGTATAGGTGTCTAGAGAACTAATGATTGCTTTTGAGTTAAAGATTTGTTGAATATATATTACATTAAAATATAAATGTAAATCACACCATGGAATAATTACACATTATGATGTACATAATGAATAATTTACAAGAAAAATAATTTGTGTTTGACAGCTTTCCTAATGTTTACAGTTTCAATCCAAGTTAAAGATAATTACAAGTTACTATGTCACATAAAAAAATGGCTAGAAAGAATATACACAATATACAATTTTTTGTTAACAATTATTGAAACTAACAATTACTATCAAAAACTGATGTAGTGTACCTAATGAAATAAAGCTGCAAGTTTTGAACACGACATTACCTGTTAGAGAGCCTGGTAGGCATTTTGTTTATTGCCTAAACTAAAGTCCAGTGAAAATAACAACCAGTGTAAACTTACTTTCATCACACCTCAAAACACATAATTTTAGCAATTATCTGTCAATTCTAACCTAAAATGGCAATAGGTCTACTATGCTGATAAGAGGAAGGCTTGGAAACGATTCATAATAGTAGGCCGTTGTATTGAGCAGAGAGTGAGAGAACCTGTTTACTATTAAAGGCTGGTGAGATATCCAGCATATTTGATGACTGAGACTCCCTCAGCTGACTATCTGTTTCTTGTACTGTATTTTAATATTGAAAAAGCTAATAAACATACTAAAAAGTATGAACCTGAGTATAAAAAAAAAAAAAAAAAAAATTAATTTTATTCTTCTGTTGCAGTAGCTCAAAAAAATATAAAACAAAAGTTTTTACTTGTTCAACTTTAAAATTGAAAGAGCTAATAATTAATTTACTTAAAAAGTTAAAATATTAAATTATCTGTTCGCTTAAAAAATACAATATGTATTAAATCCTAGTTTGTTCATGCCTAGTGCAGTCGTATTACATTGAATAAAGAAACAACCCTCAAATTTATCTGGGCTGTGTACTAAATAACCAGTCAAATCTCTTAATTATATTCTTGTTATTTTATTTGTTTGTATACATAGTTGTTTATTTATTTATGAATTATAATTCATAATGTGCCGAGTGAACTATGTGGTCTGCCTATGCATATCCTGGTCAATCTGCATTGTTTATGCTAAGTTGCAAGTGATATTATTATTATTGAGTAAATATACTTGACTTAAATGGTGACATTGCTAAATACAAAACTACACTGCATCATAATAATGCTATAATTAGGCCCCTCCAAAAAAATTGCTGTCTTGCCCTTAAATGGGAAAAATAGAGATCATTGGTTGGTCGGTCAGCTTTTTTTTTTTTTTTAGTAATCGGCACAATGGCAAGCTTGCCAAACAAAAGATATTCATAGTAATGACGGATTATACTAACCAAGTGTATATTGAAATAAATTTAACAAAAATAATCAGTTTAAAGAATGTTTTATTTGGCTTCGAAACATAAAATAATGTGTGTATCGAATACACACGATCAAGCACTGGCAGGTCAAGCAAAACCATACTTTGGCTATGAAAAATGTCCAAACAAGCGCCCTCTATACATAATACAATCGAATAAAAAAGAAAAATATTTCGTTCATGGTTGGCCTAAAACCGTAAACGGAGCCATGTACCGGCTTTAAAGCGATGGCTAGACCTAAGCCTGTTTTTATTTATTGTCTAATACACCGTAAGGTAATGAATACATTTTTTGATTCAAGCAACTACTAGTTGTACAGTAGTAAAAAATAGGCTACAGTAGGTCTAGATCTCGTCGTGACTTGACAGCTCAGCGCAAGAGATCTGATGTTGCGTGCATATACCGTAATTTCAGTCAGTCGTGAAGGGCAACAAAACATATATATTTTTTTTGGCCTTACATTACACACTAGATACACTTGAAAAACAAACTGAATTACTTGCATTGTATTGTATACTTAGGCAAGTTGTTAACTCTCAATTAAGAACAGAATGAAACAAAAAATGTTTCATGAATTAACTGACAATTGTTTTTACTATTCAAACACAAAACCTTCCGATTACTGTTCAGATACTCTACCAACTGAACTCGTATTGTAAGCAATAATTTTAATTCTTTTTACGGTGAACTTGTTTCATGTTTACCTGTGGCAATTTTTTATATGCTAAATTATCATACTTTATTTTAATTAATTTTTTTTTTATTTTGCCTTATTGATTTATTCTTTTTCTTTTTTCTTTTTTTTTATATTTTATATTTTTATCGCCTTTTTTTTATACATTCTGCATATTTCTATGTTCGAGATTTACCTTGGCAAAACATGGAAAACACTCAAATCAATCTTTGTAAGTTTCCTTTACTTTTCAAAACCTGTAGGGACCAAAGGTGTTTGAGAAACTTACCACTAAATTCTGCACCAAATCTTTAACATTCTGTACAGTGTTGGGAGGCTGTTTGGCATTGGCAGCTAATTTGATCAAAGTTGTTAGGAAGTTTTTACATTTTTTCACACTGTCCATATTCGCAGAGGTCAAGGTCACAACACCACTCGCAGCCGACGGTTGACCTATGATAGTATTCACCCCCACAACGCCGGAGGTCAAAGTAGTGGCCGTCGAGCCCCCAATCAGCGCCGGGTTGACCTTACCGGGGGCTGTTAACACAGTCATCGCAGGCCTTGTGGCAATGCTGTTTGCACTTCCTTGTATTAATGGATGCCGAAGTTGAACTTGCGTAGAGGGTGATGTTAGCCTCACAGTATTGCCCGCTCGTATTGCTGATTGTGTCAAAACTTGTGGACTCTGTCAATAATAGAGAATGGAAAATTAAAGTATTAGCAAATATTACAAATATCTTACAAATACAAAAATAAAAAATAATAAATAATTTTTATAGTAAATATTTTTAATACTGTTTACCATGATCTAATTTACAATTATTATTAAATTAACACAAATACTGATTTATAGACTGCTTATTTATACTTAAGAATTTTCTTAAGCATAATACCACCAGGGAGGAACAAAATAATAACTACATAAAATAATTATTTATAAAATTATTTAAATATTTAATAACAATGAACAATATAAACATATTCATCAGTACTAATTTATCATTGTATGAATGCCCCAGTAAGCATTTTATTGTTTGAATCATGAACTAATCAAAGACAGCGTTTTTACTGTATTTTAAAACACAAAATAAACTCTTGCGACTTTCTAATATCTCTACGAGAAAATTACTGTAGGTACAGTATTACTACCATAACAGTATCTTGATCATCATATCACTAAAAGTGATAAAATGTAGGTCACAATTATTAAAAAAAAAAATTTGTTTAATCACATGGTTGGTATCATTCATTCTGACTGGTCAGAAAGTTTAGAATTCAAATTTTAGTAGTTAGTGGAACTAGCGGAACTTTTAATTAGTAATTGCTTTAAATTTTGTCGGTCAGGATATTTTTAGAAAGTGTGGCACATGTTGTTGATTTTTAATTATTTGGGATGCACAATTATTTAGAATAAATAGCACAAAGAAAGTGATTTTTATCACATAGGTACTTCATTTAGGCTCTTTGTTTGTAAATTATACTATATTAGTCAAAAGATTACTTCAGTATATAAATTATTTCAATTGCCATCTTCTAATGTAATGTTTACACATAATTTATTTATTATGATAATTATTTCTCTTATAATTATCATAATTATTATCATCATCATGCAGATAACGCTGTTTATGACGACCTCAAATACTCAGAGCATTTTACCTGGACAGTTCTATAAACAGTTCCTTGTGAATTTGTAACATGTTGTGCTAAAGAAGCTGCACCGCCGACAACCATACCATCTTTAATAAGGACAACTCCAGGTGGTAAGGTTGTACCATCAGATAACCGGATGTGAACATTTTGCGGCCTCGGTGCAATCACCTGTTGGCCGGTCGCAATCCTCACTGGCTGGGTCAGTATCTGACCGCCTGATTGGACCTGGTTCGTTACCACCACTTGTGGTGAATTGGGCGTCACCGCCCGTGTTGCCGTTGAACTTGTGTTTGATATTCCAATGGTTACAACACTCGGATTCACAGCAGCCCTTGGTCGAATACTTTGCACAACTTGCGGCTGCATATTTGATACAAATTGTGAGGCTTCGGTGCCTTGTTGGATATTCAATTGCTCACGTACAGTCAACTTTACCGGTGGTGGTTTTCCTGATGTTAGTGTCAACGTTGGTTTGCTTTCCAAAGAAACAACCGTCGTACTACTGCTAACTGGAACATTTTTTCCATTTCCACTTACAGCTTGTGAATTAATTATCTGTTGAGTTATTGCCTGTGTAGTTCTATTATTATTGGCTCTCATAATATTTTTGGCAGAGTTTGCAAGGTTTACAGTAGCACTGCTGCTGTTTTCAGTTGCCAAAACTGTTCCTCCAGCAGTGGTTGGAAGCGTTATAATCCTTACACAGGTTGTTGGAGGGCCACTTTTTGGCAGTGTCTTATTGTCTGAACTGACTATCACACCAGAAGTTGACACTTGTGTGTTAGAAACTTGAATTGGAGCCACAGACACGATCGTTTTGTTAGTAGTAAATACAGCACCAGATTCGACCTCTTTAGCCCCGCTTGAGAGCGAGTTTTGAATTGCTGTTGTGGCGGGCTGGACAGGCTGCACGTTGTTTGATGATGAGTTCGGAGTAATAATTGCATGGTTGCTACGTCCTGGAGTATCTGTAACTACAGTATTTGTTGGAAGGGTACTCGATGAAGCTAGTTGGGACTCCAAAGAACCGACAAGTGATCTCACGGCACTTTCATCAACCTCAGAAGAAAGGATGTCTTCCAAGGACGTCGTGCCCGCCATCTTTCCTTCATGGAGTCTGAATTTAAAATGACAAAGCGCATGCTCAGACAGAATGTTATTATGGGATTGTTTCGATACGCGCAATATGATTGTAGAGGGCGATCTATAACTCTTTGTATGCGTTATCTGTACTACCTGTACAGGCTTCTAAATAAAATAATTCAATATAATTTATTGATGTTAAAAATTAACAAGTTTTCACAAATATTAGTTAGCTTGTAACAAAAAAAAATTATGCGTCTAGTTCATAGAGCATAACTGAGCTCCATGCTAATCTGCAATTGACTCGATAAACAAATGGATAATTAAGTAAGCTCATTTCCGGATCTAACTTGAAATCTTTAAAACTTCATTCTTCTACCGATCGTTCGTTCTACTTTCTCTTTCCTTCTTTAAAATCTAACCTTCTGAGTTATCTTTCATCCAATCTGGTGCAATTTTCCTGGCCATTTCTTTATTTAGCAATATTTTTATATCTTAATTTTGCTTTGTTTTTTTTTTGTGTGAAATTATTTATCTTTTATAAATCTGATTATTTCAAGATATTATTATTTATGTTAGTTTTTATTATTTATTTTCTTTTCAATCCTCTGGATTAATTTTTTTTCCCAGTAATGTATGTAAAGTTTTAAGTTGCCGGATACCTAAAAAATTAGGCATGGAAATACTGTAGCTGTGCAGAATCATAATTAGTTTACTGCATATTATTAAGATTAGATCAAAGCCTAAATTTCGGCAAAATCTGCTCGGAAATCGGCCCTAATTTTCTTTTCTTTGGCCTAGCCTAATTTTTGCTCAGAGGATATATTCCAGACTTCTCAAGTACTACGGAAATTCCGTAGATGGTCCTTGTTTCTAAAGAAATTTCGCCTTATATGGACGTACAGAAATAAATCATATAACGGAAATTTATCATAGGCCTACAGTAGACCCATAAATAATAGGTCTAATGTCCAGAACACATTACTTTTTTATTATGATTTTTGGTTACATTGTCCCTAAACAGCTCATACTTGTTTGATCACTGATAAATTATTGTGAAAACTAAGAAAATGTGGCCTGTAAATCTTCCTCCTGTAGTCCTAAAAAATTCCACATCAAATTGCAGATAATCGTGCCTGGGACGTTCAGACCTATTTTCAGAACAATTGGACCCAATTTGAAAGTGGCCCATAAATCTTCATCCTGTCAAGTTTATTTGAAATTCCACAGCTGTACTGCTATTTTTGAGCCATACTGTATCTTGCACTGAAGGCAAATTATTAGTTGCTACGGAAATTTTTTGTTTACTATGGAAATCTGAAGACATAGTTACGGAAATGCATTTTATGAAATTGAGAAGTCTAATATTCCTCACGTAGGCCTTACTTTACAGTCAGGATTGCGTGGATGATACGGGAAAATTGCTAAGAAAATAGGTGCTCTGGACTTTACAGTCTGACAAAGAGGCCATTGGAATGCCAGGGGGGGGGGGGGGGGGGGGGGGGGGGGGTGGTGATTGGAGGCAAAGGCAAGAAAGCTATTCCACATCCTGACCAATCTAATAAGAATACTGTAAACAAGTCTGTTTTAAATTATTCAACTAACAAGAAATTAAATAAGAATAATAAATTCATTATTCATTGTGTATTTATTAATAGTGAGGGTCCATTTAATTCAACTAAATACTGTACGTGGCTTGAAATTAACTAGAGCACATGATTAAAAATTGCTTATGTTTATTTTGTTTTCTAGTTCGTTCCTATGGAACCGAAGACAGACCAGCAGAGCGGCCCATAGCCCCGCAATCGCAAGTTTATGACTTTATAGTATTCCGTGGTAATGACATTAAAGATATTCATGTTTGCGAACCACCAAAGTGCCCGCAAACTTCAAGTTCTGAGCTGGCTAGAGACCCAGCCATTGTGCAAGTAAGTCTCATCGATCAAATATGTTTAAAATATGCACAGCAAAAGAATTAATACACACTTGGTATTTGCCATTCCAATGTGAGGAATATCCGACTGTCATTGACTGATAAACAGGTGACTAAAATTTAAATTGCCCTCTAAAGGATATGAAATAATTAATTAAAAGATTACCAGTGTTTACGTTATAGGATATGATAAAATATTATTGTCCTATTTAGATAACTGCAAGTTAAACATTAACTAAAACTAAATTAGTTTTGTAAAATAGTGTATGAACCCTTCATAATGAAATTGTTACTTTGAATTATGCATATTGATTAACTCATTAATAAGCAATTAGTATTGTTGTGTATTATACACTAGTGGAAATTATTATACAAAGGTTAGATTAATGCATTAAAAAATTACTGAATGCATTATTCTAACAAAGAGTACAAAGAGTAAAAAAAAAGAAACTTTAATCTCTGGTAACAGTAAGTTCGCACATCATCTACTTAAATAAAAAATTATTGTGGAAGTTTTATAAAATATGCATGCCAATTATTATTTATTCACTCTTTTATTGAGGAATCTAAAGTTGATCATTTATTTGTTTTGTAGCATTCCCATGCAAGTACTCCAGCTGGTCATGGCTATGGTTCTTTTACCCAGCCTAATGTTAGTACCGCAGGCTATGGTCCTTTCGGTGGACTGCCCTATAGTGCAGGCTATGCTGGTGCGGTGGGTAGCATGATGGCAGGCCAGCAACAGATGGGTGTCCCCGGCATGGCTCAACACACTCATGGTATGTTTATTACCGTATATGAAGCTTTCAATTGTAAAACAAATTTACCCTCACCAGTTACCGTTTTGCATTTTCTACAAAAAATTGATTTGACCCAATTTACTTTCTAATACCTTGTCCACACTATAACATTTTATGTGACAAAAAAATTTGTGATATGTGCGGCCCATATATAGGTATAAACATTGTATATTATGGCATCATCATGACCATATATGGGCACATGACATTAATTTGTCACATAAAATTTGATAGTGTGGACACAGCTAAATGCAGAGAACTCATAGTTTTCGCATTCATTGAATTATCTGATGACATTGTCCCAGATCTTCACTGTCATTGCAATTTAAAAGATTGCTTTTGTTTTATGCGCTGATCTGATATCAAACGTTTTAAATGTATTGTAGAATTTCATAAAGGAAAACCCAAGGGGGGTCACAGGGACATGGTGATTGATTTGAGTTAGAATGATTCTACATTATTTTTAATGCACAATTTATTCATAATTTTTATCCATTCAGACGTCAACAGGCAGACCCCGCCCCTTACTATACCCGTTCGCAAGTCTCCCACCATGGAGCAAGGTGTTCAAGCGTCTGGACCTGACTCACCAAAGAAAAACACCAAGAAAGAAGACAATTACCGTAATGAGAAGAAAGGCGAGGGAGGAAAAACAATTCGTAGACAAGGTTCAAAAGAAGACAAAACATCTGGTTACCATGGCAAGGAAAACAAGGAAGAAAATAAGGAACAACATATTGAGTCTAGGGAATGGCGTGATAGTCGGGAGAAACGTGACACACGTGAGTGGCGCGACAACCGAGACTGGCGAGACAATAGAGGCTGGAGAGACCGTAGAGATGGTATGTGTCAATTTGTAGCATTTTTTGTTGTGAACCATTTAATTTAAAAGCTGGATATTAATATTGGATATACTGTACAATAGTATCAGACTTCCTGATTAGTTTAAAACATTTCTTTGATCATATTAAGGGTAAATCAAGCATACACGGAAGGAAATACAATTTTTTAAATCATTCGTCCTGGTGTTTTAATGTTTACTTTGCTTACTACTATATTTCTATGGTTTATATTTAAAACTAAATATAAATATACCAAAATAAATGCTTAAGGTTGGTCAACAGATATAGATTCATCATAGTACATACACGATAATAATATGTGATCTTGAACCAATGATCTATTGTATGTAGGTCAACCTCAAAGAAGGGGAAGAGGAAGGGGAGCTGGAAATGGTGGAGGTGGTGGTGGGAGCAACCGTCCCCAGAAGTCTGGTACAGCCAAAGAAGCCATTAAAGTCGGTACAGACTTCGATTTCGCTGAAGCTAATTCCAAGTTTGACAAATCTGAATTGGAAGAACAGTTCCAGACCAAATTGAAACTAGGTAAGTTTAACCATGTCTTTTTTATGTGCTGATATATGTCAATTTTTTATATTTTTTTATTATTAAAGTACAAACGAAGAATAATGGTCTGCTACCATAAAGAAGAGGTGGTTTAGATGGACAGGACACCTACTTAATGCTACCAACTGAATCTCCAGCAGAACTATGGAAAGTCAAAAGATCTGTTGGAAAACTAAAAAACAATATGGACATCAATGATAAACAAAGAACTAAAACCTACCAACTTATATTACCAGATCTTCAGACAACTAACTGAAAGCAATGTTCAAATGATTTCATTTGGTTGTATTTATGTATACTTGTTATACTTGTATATTTGTTAATATTTTGGTTTACCTTAAACAAATTTTCAAATCGGTACACCGAAAGAAAGTCTCGAAAAAATTAGAGGGCGTATACGCTAACTCTACGAAGAATGAAAATGCATTAACTGATGGTTAAATTATACAGATAACTGTTACTGTCTTACTGTTGACTGTTACTACCTAGCCTCTCACAGGTTTTTTGCCTTCCAGACACTTGGGTGTAGTGGTGTGTCTAAAGAGTTCATTGCTTGATTTCTACTGTATATTCCAATCAATCGTTAATTGATATGAATGATGTGTAATGACTATTCAAATTCAGCTTCAAATAAAAATTGTCTCATAGGACTTTTTTTGGGGTTTTAACTATTTTATTGTAGGTAACGGTGAATGTAAAGAGGATTCAGGAAACGAAACTCAGCCAAGTGATGCAGCGCAAGAAGATGAGGAGGAAAGCTTTTATGAACCCAAGAAATCGTTCTTCGATTCTATTACATGCGAGGCGTCAGGCAGGGGGTGCGTATTCAATTAACTAACCTATTGTAAATATAGGACAGATTATTATAGTAGGCCTGCTTTAAATGAACCAAAGAAATTCTTGTGTTCTTTTACAATTTATTAATCAATTTGTTTTTTTATTCATTTTTAATTAAATATTTTAATAATGTCATTTGTTTTTACCAGATTTTAGTCCTTAATGTTTATGGAAATGTAGCTAATTTTAAATAAAAATAATCCATGAAAAAAATATAAACCAATATTTGTAAATATTAAAATGTTGCAGTCCGAGATCAAATTGGAAAGAAGAACGCAAATTAAATGCTGAGACGTTTGGTGTAAGTGCTAACTACCGATCCCGTGGTCGTCGCGGAGGATACAGAGGAGGTTACCGTGGTGGGTACCGCCCTCGTGGACGTGGTGGTTACAGAGGTGGTTACCGAGGTGGGTACCGTGGTGGAAGAGGCGGTTACAGGAGTGATCGATCAGAAAATACTGAACAGCAAGCGCCACTGGTAAGTGATAATTAAAACATCTTTAACATGTTAGATTCTGTGGTGGTTACTGAGGCACAAACCCTTTTCTAATAAATGCACCCCTCCCCCTTAAACATGCTAGTAGTCATGTGAATATTTTGAACTTTTTAACTTTGCAAGGATGGCAAACATCTTTAAAGTTGAATCTTTAAAAATTGATATTTTTCACCAACATCTTAATTAATAATTTTTAGCTCAAGTTAAACTAGTTATCTGACCAATTACCTGCCCCTGTAATTGTATTTCAATTATTTGAATTATAATGTTCCTTGTTTAATTAGTAACTTGTAAATTTTTTTATCATGAATGTTTTTTATACTGTTAAAAATATTTTTTAATGTTTTTATAGTGATTTTTTTTTATCGTTTTGATAGTCATTTTATATTTTATTTACTGTATCCTCCTTGCTAGTTGCATTTACGCTGTTGGGGGTGAAATGAAATGAAGTAAATAAGAATATTTAAAGTTTAACCATTTGATTTCATATACGTAATTATTTATTTATATTTGTTTTTTTCTCAGACTGCCCAAGCATAACCTTAGAGAGAAGAAATAAAAGAAAATAGTTTTTGAAAATGACTGCAGAAAATGCATGAAGATCAAAAAAAAAAAATTAAAAAAAATGATCAACCAGTCAAGATTTTAGTTTCATCCAGTGGGTGTGGGTTGTTCCATTAAGACACACCTACACACTCCTAATATAAACTTAATGTGCATATATGGGGTGTTATAGTGCTATTGTACCTTACACATGCAAACCTATCTTAATTAAGAAGTTAATATGCAGTTGTTTAGCATGTGCCATACACACCTCTACTGCGCATTAATTTTTTAATCGAGATAATACAATGGAGTGTTGAAATTAATTGGGATGTTTGCGAGCTGTTCCTTTACTCTTATCTGGTAGATGAATTTGGTGAACAAAGTGATTATCAATGATTTGATATTTTTGAATTATCACCAACATTGCTCTCAGTATATATGCTATATATGCATCATATGATATTGTTTGAATTAAATTAGTATAAAACATGCAAAAAAATTTACATTCATAAGTAAATGAAAATATGATATGAATAATGTAGTTTTTCATCAACTGAATGTCTTAATTTTATTTACACAACACATTTGTTAGCATAAAAAATTCAAATTTTCAGTCATATTTATTTCAATAAAAATAAAGATTTATTCTCAATTACTGTGGATAATATTTTTTTTTCGTCCAGAAGGTTTTAATCAAAAGAAATGATTGTTTCAATCAAAGAAATGTTATTTTAGTTGCATATGGTGTGCTATGATTAGCAGTTATAAGTAAATAAACATGAAAAATTGATGTGTGAATCTATTGGTTGCATCATTTATATATTTGCTTTTTTTAAGTGACAGACATAATTTTTACTTGAAGAGAGATTTCAATTTGAAGTGAAAAATGCAAAATAACATTGGATATAATCTTCATGTTACAAATGTAGTTTTTTTTTTTAAAGTTTGAAGTACGACGATACCTAAGTAAGTTAATTTAATTGAGACTTGTCTGCCATAAGCTAGTATTTATTGTCTCAAAGAGAATAATGATTTAGTTTTACTGAATCAAATTAAAGGGGAATAAAATATACGGCTCATTTTGTTATTAGTTAAGGGGCCTATGAGGCCGCAATGAAGGGTACTATTGTATTTAAAAAGAGAGACGTAGTTGTTTCACATTTTGTAGCCTCCTTTCAAAATATTTAATTGTTTTGGTAATTTTCAAGAAGACAAAATGGAAGAAAACACCAAGTGGTTTAGCTTGCTGTAGTTGTGTTAACTAAATGTTGTAGAAAATTAAAGTTTAAAAGGAAGATAACCAATCTTATTTTGCTGCTGTATTTTTTTTACATCTGTCGTGTCTGTAAATTATAGAATGTCGATCTAGCACCCTGCTCCGAAAGAGCTTTGTTGATACATAACAGCATATCTCTGACAGACTACAATATATTATCCTGTGATGCATTAATGAGGTGGCCTGGTCCCCTAAATTTAAAAAAAAAAGAGGGTGGGGGAAAAACACTTATGTGGTATAGACCCTCCTGTGAAACTCCCTCCCTGAGTTCCCCTTTTAAATCCTGGTTCCGCCACTGATACTTTATTTCGTTGTTAAATGCATTTAGAATACAATGACAATCATGATTAAAAAACGAGCACATCTAAAATTCCACGATGGAATTGGTGACTGGGACCCTTCACCACTGTTATCAACTACAGTACACTTTCATAGTGGGGCTGAGGTAGGTGTTGATTCAAACTAAATGAAAAAACTGAACCAACCATGCTGTGGTAGTGAAAATTAAAGTTTAAAAGGAAGATACCCAATCTTATTTTGCTGCTGTATTTTTTTACATCTGTCATGTCTAATATAGAATATTAAGAGTTCTGATAATCTCTAGCAGGGTGCTAGATTGAGGACATGGCTCTGCGGCCTGCCACACAGGGGCACATAGGCATTATGCCACTGTTGAACTCAAATTTACAGGGGTCTTTTAAATTTAGGCCAATTTACTAGACTTATGGTTGACATTTAACTTCCCTAATGAAACAATTACAATTTTAGTGGGGATAAAACCTTATACTTTATTTCCCTGTAAAAACACTCATGGGTTAATACCAAATTGTTTCTGTAGTGATATGTCTGTATATCAATAAACAACTGACATATTTCAATCTCATTAAATCAGACACGTCATTATTGTGGTATAAATTTATAAATTGTCATTTACAGCGTCCCAAATAAGGGAAACATAACTATCTTATTGTATTTTGCGGCGCTTGGTTATAGCCATGGTCAGCTGACTATGACAATAACACCAGCAGTAAAACCAGGGCAGCCAAGAAAAGATACTGTAACTGGAGCAAGGGTTGGTGTGGGCCCCCAGCTACGAGCATGAAGTGCGAGAAAATACTACGCAGAAGGCACGAACAAGTTTTTGGGGGGCCCTGTCAATCTGGAGGGTCCATTATTATGGGACCCATGATAATTGAAAAAAATGCTACATGCAATTTCTATGAACCCCTTGGTAAGCTTAGTCCCCGGGGACCTTCCCCCTGCCCCTCTTGGTGGCAGTGAGGAAAACCATGAAAACATTAATTTTTCCCGGAATTTGCAGAAATGGGTTAGTTTCAAGGTGATTGCTTGCTCACAAGAGTGGAAAACAGTGGTGATTTTTCGGAGACTTGGGATGCCTACATTTTGAGTAAAATGAATACAAATTATCCTTCACATCATCTTATACTCATTTTAATGAGAAAAATCAAGTACACACAAATGCCAGTCAGACACTAGATGTGTGTGTTGTTTTTTTCAATGCAGGGATTAACATAATACTTTACACTTTCACAATAATTTCATGTCGTATACAAAGAATAGCTTTACTGCTAAGAGTAGTATGTAGTAAGAAACGGTGTGTCAAACCAGAGTCCTGAGTAACCTGGAATTTCCAGCATTTTATAAACAGCAATTTAAATATGTAGTCACTTCTTAAAGAAACTTTTCATCTTGGCAGCAGGACCAACATTTAAAATTAGCTGCAAGGCCTTTACAGTTGATCACAAAAAATAACTTTACCACGGTGTGTCTTACAATACAAATTATAAAATCAGATCTAAAGTTCTATTGACTTTGGCCTCCTTTCTTTTGCTTTTTCTTTTCGGCCTCTTCTTCCTTTTCCTTCTCAATTTCGGTGACATACTTTTCGATTTCGGATGTCTCTAGCATCTGTGAATGAATATTAAAGAAGTGTTATAAATTTTGCAATAAAGACAACATGAATAAAAATAGACTAAATCTCATGGGATCAATTTCAAAATATTGTAAATTTCAATCATTTTAGGCATTATTATTGTTTTATGTTAATTTTCATGCAGCCCCCAATGAAAATAAGTTTTTTTTTATATTTAAAGACTTTCTTGGGTAACCCTAGGAATCAAATTCTGTTATTTTTCATTTTATTTAGGTTCATTGTGTTTGTCTTGTATATAAGAAATGTGTGGATTGTTGATTTTAATTCCTGAATAAAATTAAATGAAAAGAAGGGTGAAAAGATGAGGCATTACACTATTTTCTCAAATCAAAGCATGTGATTCATTCTCACACTGAAATACAAAAAAAAATAACAATAATAATTTCAGCACAAAACACACTATGGCTAACCCATGAAAGTCTTTTTTGAAGAATGCCAGTGGGGTCCTTCTTATGGTGGATTGGGCAGTATTTTTTTTTTGTCTCGCATATCCTAATATTAAAACGTGGAAATAATCTTGAATGTGCACATTTGACAATAAAGTTTACCTTGTATCTTGTACACCAGGAGTCAATCCCCTTTACCAAAGAATGTACTGCATTCTTGAATGTCCACAAGGGTCATACTGTACACTGGACCTTGTGTCACTATGATTTATCAAAATTATTACTGTACAGTATTACCAAAGAAAGAACTTACTTCCATAGGTTTGTCTCTTCTTAGGACAGCCAACTCAATATTTTTTGCTCCTGATTGAACTACTTCTAAGAGTGCTTTCACTGCCAGCTTAATGGTGTCTCTTTCGACTGATACCACCTCGTCAGAATAATGCTTCTCAAGAAATTCTCGTACAGTCTTCGCACTTCTTCCTACAGCATTAGCCTATATATACAAAAAGAACAAAGTGTGTATACTTACGTTGGAATTGAACTTTCACCTACACTTATAATGTTAATAACACCCTTGGTGAGTCACTCTGCAGTCAGATGACTTTTTATAAGGACCAACCTGGCTTCAGCTCATGCTTGGCATAAAACTGCGCTCACATTTGTTGACTCGAGCTAGCCAACTTTCCAGATTTGATTCAACCAACATCACACATAATCCGACATATCCTGTTGGCTGTGATCTTCAGGAACATTTGACCAATCAGCATTCAGCATTTTTTTTTCTGACTACTGGCTCAAAAGCTAAAGCTTTGTCAACAAGTAAAAATTTCTGTGACAATTTCTGTAATGTGTCCATATATGGGCATGATGATGTCATACTACACCCATGAGTCACAAAGCACAATCTTACCTTCCATGCATGGTAGATTCCGGCTGGATCTGTTTGGTAAAGTCTTGGTGTGCCATCATAATCAAAACCAATAATCAACGCCGACAGTCCAAATGGTCGTCTACCATTGCTTTGGGTGTACCGCTGCAGGTAGCATTATGAAACAGTACAGTAAGTCATATGATGTAAATAATAAATTTGTAATTATTTTTTCTTCTAATTTGATTTCTAATCAAATACATTGTACTGCAATATTATTATTTTATTTCGCCATCATTTGAAAAATTATATTTGGACATCTTATTTCTTATAAACGAATAATGGCGAGCCTGTTGTATTATCATCTACTTTTCTCCAACATAGCCCAGTTATGGAGTATAAAATGAGGCTTTGCAGTGGGGTTGTTTATAAGCATAAAAAAAATCCTGGTCTTGAAAGGAATTGAACCCAGGACTCTAAGATTGGAAGGGAAGGATCTTAACCACCAAGCTAGATGTTTACTGTACTTACCTGTTTTGTTTGTGCAATGTAGCGTGTAATGTATTCAACTGTTACCGGGTCCTCAACATTCAACCGATGGCTCTGACATTCTACACGTGCTCGATTGATCAATATACGAGCATCAGCTGTCAAACCTATGGCCAAATAAAAAAAATAATTATCCCTGTCTGCCTTTTTTCTTGGCTGTTGCCTCAATTTGATAAAAATTAATTTTTAAAAATTTAATCCTTCTTAGTTATAACTAAGTGAATAATTTTGTATTTTAGACTTTGGCCAGTGTTGATTATATGTGATGTTTTAAACAGAGGCAGTAACAGTGGTAGAGCAATGGGACTCAAGCCCCTCCCCTGTCGGACTGACAAAGCCCCTAATTGGCCACAACTTCTTACACCAAATCCTGGCATCACCACTGGTCGAAAACGTAATAACAAAATAAGGAAGATGTGAAAAAATACTGTCTGCTTCATATATATCGAGAGGGAAGAAATAAATTTGTTTTTTACTTTACTCAAAAATTTAAAAATAGGTGAATTTATAGACTGAAAATACAACTCAAGCTTTATTTATTTTATTTTATTAATTTCAGCCAGAACCACAAAAAACAATCAAAAAAGAAAGAGGAGGGCAGAGGAGGGCTAAGGAGAGGCAAAAGCGGTACAAAAACTACTATCACCGGATATGGTGTGCCCCTCCAGCTCCAAATTCAATATTATTAACTAATATAAATATTAATTTTATCAAAAATATAAAAATATTAAAAAATATAAATAATAAAAAAATTAAAACAGTTGGAGGAAAAACAATTAACAATCCCATGAACGAAATTGTCTAAAATAATGTTTAATTTTCCCTTTGAAAGTGCCCCAGAGACTGACTCTAGAGAGTCAGTCAGGCCTACTCCCTTTGAAAGTGCCCCAGCTTTGATTAGTACTGTACTGTTATTGTTGGGTCATATGTCATGAAACCAAAAAAATACATCTTTTACATAATCTATTTCAATTATAATCATAAATAAAGATAAGATGTTTTGCACAATTTATATTAATAAATCCTAATGCAGAATTAGAAGCATTGCTAAGCACTTTAAATTTAGGGAACACAATATTAAGGCTTTAGAATAACTATTTAAATATATCAAACATTATTAACCTGCAAATGCCATGCACACATGGTCATCTAAAACACAAATTTTCCTAACTGTTCTTTCTTCTTGGAGCTTGGCTACAGATTTCTTCTCAACTCCAAGTACAACAATGTCCTTCCCACGAACACCAACCTGCATAGTTAAAAAAAAAAGATGATGTTATCTTATTTATAATATAAATCAAAATTTTAAATTACTAATTGTTCAAACTAAAATTATCCAAATTTATTGTCGGTATTGCAGATGTTCCAAAAAAACCGCAAAATTCAGGCTTTCCTAGGCTTCTGAAAGGACTGGTTCTCAGCTCAATTATTATGGTAGCTCAAATTTGACTGGTCTCACTAGAGTCTAGGGCCTGAGTGAGTTACCCTCCTAGGCTCTAGCTAGAGGCCAGCCGAGCCCACGGCTGGCCTCTCTCTCTCTCTCAGGCCTAGTCGTCTACTACAGTACTTACTAGGCTACTATGCCTAGGCCTAGTGAGTAGTTAGAGCTCGAGTAGGCCTGACTGACTCTCTAGAGTCTATGTGCCTAGGCTAGGCAGGCATAGCCTAGCCTACCGTAATGTTGCTGAGCAAGCTAGGCCTAAGCTTTCACGGTAATTTAACTTCAAGATTGCACTCACAGCTGTAGATCCTTTCTTAACTGCTTCCTGAGCATATTCTACTTGGAAAAGATGACCGTCTGGTGAAAAAACTGTAATTGCACGATCATAATGGGACGTCATTTTTTAAGTATTTCTTCTCCCGGTTTTATGAATTCTGTTGATTCACTCACGTTTGGCAAAACGCCCTCAGTAGTTGCACAAAGGTTCCAATAATTCCTTAGGCTTGTTTTGGCAAAATACTTTTTAAGTATAGGCCTAGCACTAAACATATTGTCTACAAACGAGTTGTTTATATATTACGAAACTGTAAATACTATCATAATCATCAATTAAATATAGTATAGCTAAACGATAACCCTGTTCAAATCAAAATATAAATAAAAACTACATATATGAGGCTGGTCAAAAGGCTAATCTCAGTAAATGCCCATTCTAGTCTTATGCGGCGCTCTATCATAAACACAAATCACACACAAACTACATACACTTTGCTGTTATAATTAGTAATTACAACTGGAATCACCTGTAAGTGATTAATGTAGATAAGAAGCCATGGCAGGTAGACAGTCAGTGAATTTCAATAAGCCAGCAGAACCGAATTTTCTCAAGAAATTCAAGAAAGAAATAGGTTACAAAGAAGGACCCTCGGTCGACACGAAGGTACAGTTACTCTGTGTGTAGTGTGTATGTTCAGATGGTATTTGTGTGTTATAGTAGCCAACAGCATGGCTTACCAAATTAAATGATTAATACTTTATATAATGTTATTATCACAATTATTTATATGTACTTTTACTTTTAAATTCAACTCAAATCCATTATCAATATCACTTTGTCACACCACTCTATAAAACCCAGAATGTCCTCAGATCAGACCAAGACCTGTTAATAGCCTAAGGCTTTATTTATTAGTTTATAGATCTTATAGTGAATAATGAAAGATACAAATATTCCATTGGTAGAGACAAGAATTGGGAGGAGTAGATGACACTGACGATAGACCAGAAGAAGGGGATGAACAACCGGTGATTGTGGTTCCTGAGAATAGTAAGATAAGTGAACAGGAAATAGAAGACTTTATGAAAGAAAAGGAAAGAGGTAATGAATCATAATAAAAAAATACATATTATTTTAATGAATAATAGAAAAAGACAAAGTTAAATAAATTACTAATAATAGAAAAAAAAGTAAGCCACAGTATATAAAAAAAACAAAACATAATAAATAGAAAAAGGAAACAGGTAAATGTTTATTAAAAAGTATTTTAAAAAAATAAGCTGATATAAAGTATTTTTTAGCTAATACAAAAATGATGTCAATAGAATAAAATTCTCCTGTATTTTGAAAGAGTGATGAATTAAAAGTAAACACAAATCTTAAATTTTCAACCTCTTTCCTTTTTTTTCAAGGTGATGCAAAAATAGTTTTTAAGAAGCCAACCAAACGTCCGAGCGATGAATCAGAAGTAAACACAAGCAGTACAAAGAAAAAGAAAGAAAAGAAGGATAAAGAAAAAAGCAAAATGAAGAAAATCAAAAACAATTCTCTGCTCTCCTTTGGTGATGAGGAAGAAGAGGAAAGTTGATATAATGCACTATTTAATGAAGTCTCAGTGAGTAAATAAAAAAGAAAGAAAGAAAAAGAAAAAAGTGATCGCCCAAAACGCCTCAGAGGTTATTTTCGGGCGCCTAGAAAACAAAAACTTTGCGGACCCCCTAAGGTGGTGTTATCTTGATCAGCTCCACTTCCGATACCCTTTCGAACATTGCCTTACTATAGCGTATTGTTTAGGTTTATATTACTTCAGGGGTTCCAAGTTGAAAGGATCCACATCCAGGAGATGTGTTTAAATGAGCTTTCTAATTGTTTTGTGTGCATGCTGATACCCATTGGCACTGACTTCCGCGAGACAATTAATAATACTGTATTAAATACTCGTAAAAATATTCAAATATCATGAATTCCCAGGAGATTGGTTGTATTCTGGGAGATTCTTGCTCGCTCGCTGGAGTGCAGGAGGCCTTCCCGGTTTCCGGGAGACTCATGCGAGATGTGGGAGACTTGCGATCCCTGATGCTTGGAAGATCTGATAAGCAGGGATGAGACAATTTGCCGCCTGTCTTGTGTTCCATGAAAGAAGACATACTATACTTGTAGACATCGTATCTAGCAAAAGGGATTTTGAGGTGTTAAAGCCAGGCTCCGGAGGAAATTTTTTTCTTATGTTGAACTGATAAATAAATATATATATATA